CCAAGGTCAAGTTGAATTAGTGGCGGGCCGTATTTAAGACGCGATTACATATACCTAATTCGTGTGCATTTCTCACGAATCGTGTTGAATTATTAGGTTCGCTTTGTTGTAACAAATTTTGCGGCATTGATTTACTCACAAATTCATCTGTTATCGTTAATTTCACTGATTTAAAATAACAGCCTTTCGTTTTCACCTTTACATCTGACATGCTTACTACGGTTCAACGTTATCTCACTCTGGCGTTTGTTTGTGAAAATACCAGTTAACGGCATTAGGTCTACGGGTGTAGGATTATGGAAAAGATACAATTTTCTTTCGACAGTTGATTAGATCTTACAGGTGATTACCCCCCTAGTTATGATAAATACGAATGATAGCAAAGATTAATGGGTCTTAAATCCTTGATAGAATTATGTTTTGTTTTCACGGTATTTGAAAACAGCTTTAAAAGCACTTATAAAATTTTGCTAGGACCATTTTCCGACAAAACAGAATGCTTATGAATATTTTTCCCTGAAATCTTTACTGTTCTTGACATGTTGAACTTGTAATTAATGGCGTTTATCTGCCAAGGCCTAAAATGACTGTACGCGACAATTTTAGTATTATTTTTGCACTTAAACACCTGGCTTTGTTGTGGGTTACGCTAAACATTGTAATTTATCACCACGGTAAATATTTAATTGGTAAACTGCAAAGCACTACAAAACTTGTGATTTGATATCGGGAATGAGGATTGCTTTCTACGGGCATGCAGTTTTTTTAATGTACAGCCAGCCGTCTTGTGAGCCACTCGCGCGGTCTAGACTTGGAATATTATAGATGAAATGTGTCGTCTCCCTTGTGGGTGGAATTTGAAATACCCATGTTGTAGCTATATAACCCAACCCTTCATATATACAACAATTAGCTACATTCTTTCACATGATTGTTACAGCGATCATTATATTCACCGGCGATTGAACGGCTTTGTGTGGGTGGTAGTGAAAATGTTCCGTTATTATGGGAAATAGCTCCGTTTGTGGGTGAATATCGAAAGGCGTTTGCTAATTCTGCATGACTACGGAATTCACATAACGTCAAATGAATTGTCGACAATGTTTTATCTTCGTTTACGTCCAACCGATGCAATTTTTCAGGATGTGGGTTTTCAGCTGATGCAGCTTTATGTCATTATATATATTGATAAAAAATTTTTTTCGCCAAGGATGCTTGTTGTATATAATCGACATTCATAGAACTACTATTGCCTCGTATATTGTCTTTTGACCATTATGGACTTTTTAAAACCCTATTTAGTCCGATTTATTTTAGCGATTTTTGTTAGCTTTACGTAACTTATTTTGGTGCAAGAAATGGCAAATGTTTTTGGTCGATGCAAGAATATTTTTTGGGATACAAGTTATAACTTCCTCTTCTGCTGTCGCAATATATACAGGAAGTTACCCCCTATATTTATTCCCCCTCCCCCGAGGTCCTACGTACGCGAGCGGCCAATCCTAGCTGGGCTTCCTAGCCACAAGGCGGTCATCTCTAATGGCTTATGTAATCATAATAATATAGAAAAGGCAAAACAAATATTTACCGTAACGATAAGTTACGTTGATAAACATGCTTCAAAACAGTGGAAATGTTTTGGAGCTGAATTTCTAAAGAGGGCTTATGGATTCGAACTTGTTCAAATGGCAATTACATATTCCGAAAAAAACATATTCTGAAAATTTAACTGCAGGCATTGCGAATAACTTGAGAGAAGTAATTTTTATGTATAAACTTAGTTAAGAACCGTAAACTTCAAATTTCGATGACTTTCAAGACGTTATTTCGACCGTCAACCTGTCTGCGTTGCTTGGTATGTTTTGAGATGCAATATTAAAGTTCAACAAGCACGCGATTGCATGAGTGTTGTGTAACCCGTAAAAATAGTTCGGTAAATAAACAACGTTTTTGAAAACGTCCCAAAATTTTTCTTATGCAAATATTCTTGTAAACAGTGGTTTTATGTTTGTATGCCTAATTCCTAATTCCTAACACACCCCACGAAACAATTTCACTGCACGCAACTTCGAAGAAAAGCATTTTTATAGTAGGCGAAAATCTTGCGTTAATATCTCAGTAATCCTGAATCTCTGAAAATAAATATTATATTTTCTATCGGTAATATTGGAATTCGTTTGAGGACGAATCGGCGCTTCCAACCCACTTATTGGCATATCAAAACATGAACAAACACGGCACTATATACCTGTAATAGGAAATTCTTTGCTAAATATATATCTCCCCATGCAAGATAGCTCTTTCATAAGCGAAGCCGCCCAAAGTATTTTGTTGATATTTGTCGCGACATTGCTGCTGAAAAAATCTGTTCCACCATCAAAGCAGCCACTCGATGAGGCATAAATCCGACGTCAAAATTATTCTAAGGGCTCAGACAACTATACCGATGTCCGGCTTCAGACCCGAAACAGAAGTGATAAATTTTTTTTGCATTCATACGTCTAAACTCTAAAGCATTACCCACTACTGACTTACATTATTACCAGTATAAATTCCTACAAGTTAATTTACTTATTTGATGTCACCATGCATGTAAACTTACTAGAATGAAGAATATTATAAAATTCAACTAAAGTTTCAAATTTAATACAAACGATATCAATTAGAACGTGTTGAAACGATTTAAATAAGCCACTAAGTGTGTTTTTAAACGTTGACATGTTCAGACCGGCGCGCTTTAGACATTAGACTTATCGAAAAATTTCGATTAACAATCAATATAGCCGAATAGGGTATGATCATCTATGATATAAGACAGTTGAATCTTGCAATGTTTACCCTTTAAATGCTGTGTTATCTGCATCTGATAACTGCATTGTCAGTCGCAATAAGATTGACTGCAAAGTTTTGAAATAAGTTGAACCAAGTAAATAGCTGTGGAGGGTTTGTCGTCAATGGTTACAACACACTTAAATTTGATAGATAGGCCCATTTCAATCCTGCAGTGAATGCTGTAGAAGCGAATGCTTCAATATATTTTTGGGAAATAACTATCGATATATTTGTGTGAAATAATGAAACTATAAATATTAAAACTAAAAGCTGAAATCTAGCGAGCTCATCAGAGTTCTTGGCCTATCTCAAAATGATAGTCGAGGTATAAAATTCTGAGCGAAACCATGCCTGCTCGAATTGAAGTCTTGTTCTTTGTATAAATAGAATTTCACGTTTGGTGATTCCTTAGAAATAACTAGTTGCGATGTGGTCTTCCTAGACGTCCTCTAGAATATCCAGAAGCCGGGGTCTTCGTTCATAGGATGCACTTCGCCGCCGGCCGGATGAGGAAGGTGGTAGACAGATCACGTTCGTAGATTAAAAACGTCTGCCTACTTTAGACAATATTGTACAAATATCTCGGGTGGTTAGGATAAAATTGTCTGGCATTTCAGCAGTCTGAGTTTAAAGTGTTCGGAATGAATGTAATCGACGAATCTATATGGGCATTATATAATGTGCATGGTCTGGGTCTGAGCTATATAAGAGCGTTGTGTGAGAGGAATTCGTGTTGAGAGATTTTGTCGATTCGTCTAAAAATCATCGTCTGTTAAAGGTCGCGAATACTGTTCAGACGAAAGCCCAAAGCAAAAGCGTCACTTGTAAACGCTGTCATACTAACTGGCAACCCCTCAATCGTAAATATATTAATCCCCTCCGCCTCGTGACTAACGCTGTAAGTCGTCTGAAAATAGTCTTGACTGTCATGTCAAGTAGCAAACCTTGAACTGGGCATTCTTGGGATATATGGGATATAACGATTAATTAAAGGTTAGAATCGAGGCATTCGCGTGGTGCACACAGTCATAGAGCAACAACACACAATACCGAATCATGTGATATCGGGGCTACGGCGAGCGAACACTCGATAAGCGAAGTTGAAAAAACACTTCAAAATCTTCACTTGCAAATGAAGTAAATTTGAACGGTTTTCTTATTATCCGTATTAGCCATATTTCATGATGATGTATTGAACAGTTGATGAATACATTAGCATAATCAAGTGTTTGTAACTATGTTGATAAAAATGTAAATGTGATAACATTTTATTCTAATTGAATCATAAATAGCGAGGGATAAAAAGATTTTCAATATCTTTTATGCTCTAACGCAAGTGCTAAGTGTTGCCAGTGTTAAAAATTTGCCATGGTTCGTGCGCCGGCTTGTTTTTTTGCCGTGTTCAAGCGCACAGGCGCGTTTGCCAATGCCATGGCCGAACATTCTCATAATAAAGTCCGAAAATACACGCAGTCGTAAGATCACCGGACGCGCGCGCGGTAATCAATGTCGTGAGATTTTTAAAATGGGGTGTTGAAACTATGAGGAAATGCAGAGCGACAACTTGTCGCTGCTCAGCGCAATTCACATGCGAGCGAACGTATTCAAATCGATAAGTTCTTTCGTCCACTTCCGCACGCTAATTTACGGCGTCAAATAGATCGAGTTCTTGTATTGCTCGCCTGTTACTCTCACATAATTACCCACAGTGTTTCATCACAAAAACACGCCCCCAATTCGAACGGCCTTTCCAAGTTTTTCACAAAAAAAATCGCGGGAGGAACGCTGGAGAATGTGCTTTGTTTCATAGTCCGCCATCCGACCCCCGCCTTTACAGCGAGGGAAACCCGTGACTTTCCCACCCCTCGAGGGAGAATCTCCCCATCACACATAGGCGAAACTCGAGTTCTAACGCAATCCCATCGCTGACATCTGCAGTTTTGAAATTTGATATCTGTATAACGAGGACGGTAAAAGATAAAAATAATCTTACGGCTCTGAGCTAAACAGTCGCTATGGTGCCACAATACGTCATTACCCAATATCCGCTTAGGACTTCAGTTTCCACCAATCAAAATTCACGAATCTTTGACGCTGTGCCAAGTCAAAAGGAATAATATAAAAACTCAGCCTTGGTCGTCGTGAAAAACATTACTGCTAACACTTCGTCGAACGCGGAAGAATTGTGGGAAGACTGATACAATCTCAAATACTATACGACCTATATATATATATATATATATATTTATACACAACGATATGTCCAAGGCGATTGAGCTAATGTCGCTTGCTCGTAACTCTGGCTTCTATACAGATCTGTTGCAGAATAATAATAATTCATTGCTGGGATCATCGAACAAAAACATCAACATGAATAAACTCGTCAAACAGTGGTCTGCTTGCTCGCCGAATGGCAGTATCGAGCCGATTGCAGAACAAAATATAAAATCGGAATTCAACTTGCGAAACGCGGCCGTGAATGCGCAAGGAGGACGGTTGAATAAGCTCGCTGCAAATCGTTGGTCAGAGCAGGTCGGTTCGGCTGTTCACACTGCGAGGGATCAAAGTGATTCGCATGTTGCAAGCGCCGAGTCGATGGAACCCGATCAGGACGAGAAAGGCGAACACATTCGAAGGCCAATGAACAGTTTTATGATCTGGAGTCAATACGAGCGACGTCGACTAGCCGAGGAAAACCCCGACCTCCACAACGCGGAATTGAGCAAGATCCTCGGTCAAAATTGGCGAGCTCTTTCAATCGAGCAAAAGCGGCCGTATGTTATGGAAGCCGAACGGTTACGAGTTAAACATATCCAGGACCATCCTAGCTACAAATACAGGCCAAAACGTCGCAAGCATCCAAAACGCGTTTGCAAAAAAGCGATGGTAAAGACGCCGGCGACTTCGAATGCAACAACAAAACCAATGTTACAAAATCTACCATTAGCAAGTGTGCAACAAAGCAAAGATACTTCTTGCAGTACGTCGAGCGGAACAGGGTTTCAACCTGCAGCAAATTTGCACCAATTCTATCCATTAACTCCCGAAGCCAGCCCAAACATTCCCAAAGAGGGGACGTCGGTGTTTGATTTCAATGTCTCGAAACATGAGCCAAAACGTATGACATGCGACTATTCACTGCCTGCAACTCCGCCAACATGCAGCCAAGCGAAGGAAGACACTTGCCAATTTCCATCGCTAGACTTTAACATGGACGATTTTAACCTTCAGAACTACATATTCGGCGAGGACATGTCTGTGTTAGATCGCACCGAATTCGACCAGTATTTAGGCTTTGTAGTCTAAGCCACGAAATCGTGCAGAAATTCGCAAACAACTTAATTTAATATTGAAACATTAATACTGGCTTTCACAGTTCCTAATGTATTCTTGGGTACTGCATCGTGCGAGGGTAATATAACCAATGCTTCACCCGGCACCAAAGCAATAATCGACGAACGAGACAAACGAACTTTCGAGAGGGACTCGAAGTTTTAATATACGTCGTTGATATACGGCTGATTATATCAGAGTGTAAATAGCACCTTTTCTCATAATGTAAATAGTTCGGGGTTATATATTCGTACCGTTCGTAAGAGGTTTTGTATAAATAATTAGTCCATAGAGAACAGTTTGCCGGTTTGTGATATGTCAGTATTATCGTGTCCTAAAAGGTCGACTTTGATAGTCCACCATAAAATGTACGCGCTTGTTGAACGAGCGGCATACAATGAAAAGGACCGGTCTTTTGTAAAGATTTTGTACTTTGTATAAATGCAAACCACGGCGCCCGCTTTCATCATATAATGAGAAAGTTTTAACTATACATGTGTGTGTATATGTATATATATACATCTATAGTTTAGTTCAAAACTGGGGTTTTTTATTATCACTTTAAATCGTAATTTTTTAAGAATTAAAGCTTATTTAAATATATGGTTTTATATCTTTGTGATATATCTGCGCTATATATCTATCTGTGCCGTAAACACAGATTGAATTACGGTGAAACTTGTTTGCCCTTCGGGGCTATAGAGTTTGCCCCTCTCGGGAGATTATTCGCATAAGCCTGTGTCATGATTTGACTTCTAATACAGCTGTTCGCTTGTCAAGATTAGGGCTCCCTCGAAAGGAGTTATTTGGCTTTGATATCCGGAATATGAAACATAAAATTCGTGTTAATAAGCGTGCTGTGCTATCAACTTCGGTCACGGATAATCAGAACTCCACCGCTGTGCGTAACGTCAGAATAGCTATAGGAAATGACTTATATAATTTTCTTCCGTGTTCAAGATCGCTGCCTTAGAATCGGTCATCTTCGTCTTCCGCGGTGCAGTTGAAGTCGGAATTGGGCTTCGTGCTTAAACGTGATCCCTTCAAAAGAAACTTGCAATTCTCTCGGCATGCACTAGCAAAATAATTACACAAGATTTGTTTATTTTAAAACCGTGATTGTCGATGATTTCACCACAAGGTATGCCGTGATCTGATTGGTGGGATAAACAATTGCGTATTGTTACATACAATGTGATTGTTTCCGATACACGTCAGTGAATATTGCATAGCGCTTGATCTCGTTACGAATCGAGCGTTTCCTGTGGCGCAAAATTGTTGTATTTTGTACGGATTCAAAATGTTTGAGCTTTGACTCCAACGAGTGCTATTTTCATGGCAAACTGAGCTTCGCTCGTACGAATGCGCAATTTCGACGCGAATACATTCTCATCTGATTATCTCTGCTCGTGTTTTACAACAGTGCTGCATGACTTTTCGTTTTGCAAATTATGTAAGACATTAATTTCCCCATATTTTTCACGTTTGTACGCGTTAAATAACGTGCCTTGATGTGACAATGCATATTTTTCACTGTTTTTGTTTGTACGACTTTAGTTGTAAGAAAAAAGACCAGTTCATCATAGCTGTTGGTATTGGGATGGGATTTTGCGAATATTGGAACATGTTATATTCTATAGACTATACGAAACGTGTTCTATAGGGTAACTTTCCAGAATGATATTGCTCTATTTACAATTGGTCGTATTGGTGAAAACAATGCTTGTTGTGGACATCTATACAAGAGTATGAGATGTTTCGCTAACCACAATATCAAATGTGCTATGCGAATGCCAAACAAACAAGTGACCGCAAAAATCGTGGTAGGGCAATTAGAGTTTCTCCCTGATTAATTAACGTCATATAGTCATGTTATCATTGACTGTGGCTTACGGCCAACTTTATTTATTGTTTTGTTCAACCTGTCAGGGCATGAACAAGCTAGATGGAAAGGCTCGCCAAGCAGTTCACATAGTAAATATGCAAATAAATCCACTAGCTCAATTGTGATTAAGATTGCATGAAAGCTAATCTCGTCTAATTAAACACTTTTTAATTGTAATTTTTGCGTTCGCAAATTTGCGTCTAAACTTCGTCGAATACGAAATATTGTTTACCTGAAGCAGTAGGTTTAATTAAATTGTAATAGCCGCTTTGAATTACGGCATATTACTGTTAAAAGTATGTTTGGACTTTCCAGCAAACGCCATCTGCCTATAGCTACCTGCTAGGTCATAATTGTTACATTGTTCAATAATTATAGGATATTCTAGAACTTTCTACAGCCTGCCAGCACAGATGAATTTCGAATAATGAATGTTTCATATGCTTGCATTTCACGAGAGACTGCCTAAAGCTGGGTAAACGAAAAAAAATGAGATCTTAATGTACGTAATATCGATGGTTCTCCACACAAATCGAGAGGACGAATAAATGAGACGGCTTGAATTCGAAGTCGTAATTTGGCTCGACGGTTGCCAGGACAGGGTTTTATAATTTCATTGATCATTTGTCAGTGTCTATCTTTAACTATGATGATTATGCATATATTTTGCTCTTATATAAGCGACGCAACAATTCCCTGCAACAAGTCGTTTCAAGCAAATGAGAAGATGACGTCTTCATACATGCATGTAGTTCCAACAATGTTTATTAAATGAAAATATAAACAATGCTATTTCTCTACTAGAAAGTCATCTATTTTCACCACGTATATACATTGAAAAGACCGGTTTCATTCGAAACAACTTCTTTCTTATGAAAGAGGAAATTTTATGTAAATTATCAATTCCGTATATAAACTGCCCCACACAGCTAGCCTGTGGAATTAGGTCATGCAGAAATGCTTGCGGTAACCACGAGATATCGCTGTTTTGGTCGGTCTGTGTTTGATTTCTTTCTTGGAATGAGGTGTAAAACAAAATGGGAAGCTTAATCCTTCAAGTACAAACTATACCAATATTGGGTAGTTTCCTTGTCTGATGTGATGTTATTCACTTCCGGTTCCCTGGTTACAGTTGAAAATTCTTCGACCTTCGCTGCCCTTCAGACGCACTCGAGCTTTCGTTTTTCGTCGGATAACTTCCATTTACTCGTGTGTTCGCTCGTCTCCCGAATGGCGAAAGTATTCTTCGAGTTTTGAAATGGACAAGTGAGATTGTTGTACGCTCCATCATAGTATGTTTCACATCCCTTAAAAAATCGTTCTCGTTTAATTCCGACCGGCTCGTGCCATATGGAGGAGGCAGACACGCCTTCGGGAAATTCTTGTTATGTATGGGTTTATTTCTGTCCCTTGGTAACCAAAACCATGAATTGAAATGGCCTGAATCATGTAGTAATATGTGTCCGCTAGATTTGAGGATATTCCCAGCACGTCAAACCCAAATTCGCCGTCTCAATAATAGTTGCTTTGTTTTGTGATAACGGAATATGTGATGTGTTCGTCAAAGTTATATTTTATCATTTACTTTCGCTTTATTTAAACTCTATTCAGCCTTTCTCTGCACCTGCCATGCATGCATTTATCCTATCAATTGGACTTTAATTTACTTTATCTACATAATTTAGTTTGTATTGACAAATTGTTTTAGAAAAACTACGTGCATTTTACATGTAACGCCGGCTGCAAGGAATTTGGTCGTCACGTTTTAGAAATGTGATCGAGTGCTTTCAGAGGGAATGTAGACTATATAGTTCATGAAAAAGTTGATGTAGTGCTGTTGAAATGAATGTTTTGAGTGGGATTCGCGTCCTTTTCAACAACTGGAGATCTCAAAGCTTGACCTTACGTGTCATCAAACACTTAAACTCCGTGGGCACACATAAAAAAGATGCAAAATATTGCTTCATACTTCATCATAATTACGTTGGCAAGATGCGACGTCTTTATTTGGGGCAAATTAGGTTTACCCATATCCCGTCTAAAAGTGCAAAATTTAGTTTATGAAAGTTCTTAAAATCCACATGAGAATCACATGAGAATTTAGCAAAGAGTTCTCGAATTTTCACCCCATGATGACGAGGTTAAGCCAATTCTGCATGAGGAATGTTTTTAAATGAAGTGTGTTCATTGCTTCATCAGTTGTGCGTGTGCGAGGGATTATCTCGAAATTATCGGGAAGGCCATCTTCAACGTAGTAAAAAAAATTATCATCTTGTAATTTTTTTGTTTTACGTAATATTTCAAGTTCCCTTTTTTCCTGAATGGTTGAAACTTTACATTTTCGTCAGGACACTATAATGCGTGAGTGCGTGCTTTCTTGCATCCATTCATCAAAAAAATGTAACGTTCACATTATCTATAGCATGACGCGAGAAATTATCGTATTAACGGATGTTCTTTAAGTGCTCCCTTAGCATCGCTGTATCATGCTTTTAAGCATGAAGTTCACGCATAGTTTTTAAAACTGACACTGAGAGCAAACGTCCTTGCCGCCAATTAAACGCCAACTCGAAATTATATGTCGCAATATTTTCGTTGTATGAACAAGACTATGACATACAAAAACACACTACAACTTGTAGGTTTTGTATATTCCGACAATAATCCGTCTCGGGCGGCAGTGTTGTGATATAATTATGCCGGACAATATCATGCACAAGTCTCAGTCGAGCAGAGAAAAACAAAACATGCAAAAGCCTCTAGGCTCTAGCCGTCTTTGATGTCTATAGTACCAAGTGAAGAGTTTCTGATCTGATAACTGTAATATATGGGATTTTAATATATACTCATAATAAATCAATCTAAGATTGACCTAATCCATATTATTCGACATTCAAAACCTGGTGTTCCGAATCGTTTTAATTTTTTTTTATCGTCAAATCTGTCGGCGGTGTCGCGGCATGAATGAGCGCATGCTTTGGAAAGGAGGTGGAAATTTTCCTTATACTACCTAGTACCTTCTCCTTCAAATCTCATGACTGACAGCAAAGGCAATATCATAATTTATTGTATATTATACACCTTATTATTTATTATTGTAGACCTGCATGTTTAACGATAGTGATTTTCTACTAATCCAGCGACAGTTAAGCACTGAAGGCAACGTATTGTTGTAAGATGCTAAAGTTAAAATGGACCACCACGTATACGCTTAAGCTAAATATCTATTTAATACACATTTCTGACATGAGATGAGAGGACGACAGTTTACCTGAGCATATAAACAAATTTATTATCTTTTTATCACGATAAGATATTTATGTTTCAGCTAGCTATAGTTCAGACACAAACAACAGCACTTTTTGTATAGTTTTTCTCTACGCTAGGCAACCAAATTTGACTGAAATTTCTTTCAGGTATAGTTAAGATTAAAACCACAATGGTCTATTCTAGAATACTACCAATGCAGGACCGCTTATGATTTCATATCTTTCTCAGGCAGTTCAGATACACTATAGGCCACTATATGATATTGCAAAAAACCAACTATGCTTTTTCACAACTATGTTTGAAAATGGGGATATGATTTTTACATGTGCATGACTATAGAAAATACAAATGAGATTGATTTGTCATTGCAACATACAATGTTTACACCTCCGTCCACTTGCATGCCATTTTCAAACAGGAAGTTTTTGAGGGGGGAAATGGAAAGA